GGTTGTACATGTTTAAACTGCCAGCGAGGGTACACGCACGCACACACATAGCAACGAATATTTGGGCGGGGTGAGGTGTGATGATGACGTTCAAACGACCACCGTTTGCCATATTGTAGTGACTCATGTACGCACGTTGGTTGAACAAGTACGGTATCGAATCGGAGATGCGGTGGGATTGCCTCTCATCGGAGGTTGTTGCTTTGTTGGGAAACTGCTCGTCGTGTGTGTTTGTTTGTTTGGAGGCCTGGCTTGGGAGGGTGCTGGTGGAGGTGGTGCGACGAGGGGATCTGTACGGCGGTGGCACCGGTGCCGTCTACCGTCGTCGTACTTACTCGAAGATAAACCAATAAAATATCGTTCATGGCCAGGAGAAAAACAATCGTGCTTAACTTTGAGATGCTTGACAAGTGTCAGTTGTAAACGCACGTGCTTGCGTCTTCCCCGACTTTTCGCGTATTTGGTGCCCTCCCCAAATCCCAAAATTTATAACTATTTTGAGCAAATGTAATACCAGCAAGATGAGAGCTGCGGCTCTACTCCAGCAGAGGGGGGTAGATACACCGCCTGTGTCGTACCGTCGGAGTTGCGTGTGGCACCGGCAGTCTTTGACCTAGACAATGCACCATTTTATGCATGTTCATATGCATATACACTTCCACCTGCTTGAGTGATTTCGTCGTCGCCGTTGATTGGCCCACCCACCCGCCTCCTGATTCCCTCTTCTTCTCCACTCCCCGTGTGCGGACTGATTGTTTGGCGATGACGGGGCAGCAGCAGCAGCAGCAGATGATGGGGAATGCTCAGGGCGGCTTCCCGTCGCTCCCCCAGCAGCAACAGGTGTGTATGTGGCTTGACGACCAATTGGTTATTCTACCTTCTGGGTTGTGGTGATGGTGGTTTGAATCAGGGTGCATGGGAGATGTTGGGAGAGGGGTCGCCACCTCAAGGGCTGTTCGCGACTGCGGTGTGGAGGTTCTAACGACAGGCTACAGCGGTCCGTATTCGGAAAGAGATTGAAGCACGTGTTTGTACATGTCGAGAGCAGTGAACACGCGTTACATGCATGTGTCTAGAGTCGTATTGGTGTCGGAGAGACGCGTGGTCAATGTCCAAGAAAAGACCACACAAATTTCATTTCTACCCCGATTTCCCCCCCTCTGTCTGTGTCTTTCATACCACGTTCTCGACCCTTGCTGCCCCCACTAAGCTTTCCAG